TTTGTACATCCTCCCTTTCCGACTGCATAGAAACACTTGGAAGAGAACCAGTCTCACGCAATGCCTGGTGAATTCGCGTAAATACACGTCGAGATGGAATCCTTTGATTGGGAAAACGCCATCGGTACTCTTCAACAGCAGCACGTGCATTGCCACCGCAAAATCCATACACAAAATGCATATCACAATATTCAACGTGTGAAAACACAAAAGGCATTTCAGCAACTCCGCACAACTACACGTAATTTACCAACCATTCACGACGCTGCCGCAACGTACTCTGTAGGCTCTGTAGGTAGCGCATGAGCCACATGAGCTTATGGCTAGGGTGAATCACCGCACTCAAGGACATAGATAAGGCATCTCAGCTGACAGGTACAGTGCGTGGACCCGCCAGAAAACCACATTTTCCTCGGGCCATTATCTCCTTAACCGTTCAACTTTGGACATAGGTGTTTTGGGTTATATCGGCATACTTTAACATAAGGAACACCCTCCCGAAGTTTGGTCCATTCCTCCTGGGACACCCTGTATATATATATACATCGCAAGATATGTTATAATCTTTAGAAGATGGTAGAAAAAACAATTCTGAACCAAATGACAGATCAGGCTCTTCTGTGCTTAATCTCCTCACAAATTTTATGTGTGGAAATGCCTGGGTAGAGGTGACAGTGGCCACAATGATACATTATTGACAGAAAAGGTGAACCAGGGAGGGGCCATGAGACTTCTCATATTCCAATCCTACTTACCTGTAGCAATGCATATGATTTTCTTTCCTTGGAGAGCAGCAACTTTACGTGGTCTTCTAACATGATCATCAGTACCATGACCCAACCGGTGATAATCACCCTTTCCCCTGCAAGAGAAATTTCATTAGGCATAAGTTAACATTACTTCTTGGTTTTCGAGGCAGCAATGAGTCTTCTAGGTTGCGACATATTCAGAAGCTAACATGTGGCAATTTAAATAATTTGACTTGTCTATTTAATAAGATGGCTTTGTTGTAACATCACTACTTGCCATCAAATGTTGCTGTGAAGTAGGTAACATTCCTTTATATGCAGCTGGTCCTGGGTTCAAATTCTAGCATACAGACAGCTTATTCTGAGGTTTCCATGGTTTTCCTCAGTCCCTTCAGACAAATGCTAGGATACTATCTTGAAGGAGGACTGCTACTGAACATCTATGGGGATGGGAATGGTGAGCACATACCACTAGTCAAATGTAGCAGGGGAAAACACAAATGAACTGCTCTAATGCAACTTCAGCCACCACAAATCTCATGTGAGTCATATGGGATTGAACCTAAGGCTCTGTGGTGAGAAGCTAGCACTTGCCTGAGCTACAGCATGGCCACAGTAAAATGTTATTTGGTCTGCAACAAATAACTCGTTAGGACAAGCCAAATACTCACCATGTGTAGACACTGCCAGAGCGAGTAAGTGCCACAGAAAACTGTGAGCCGCATTCCACTTTTATTACACCAAGACCAGCCAGTGATTCAATTTTCATTGGAATCTGGAAGGCAAATTGCAACCAAATTAATTCTTGTCCTTAGATTTTCACAGATGGAGTTTAATGATTACCCTGCAAGTGGCAAGCAGCAAAGGAAGTATTCTGCCTGCTGCATGACTTACTTTTCAACCCTGAAGATGGAGGTAGTATGTTCTTACAAGAGGTTGGTGAACTTCTACCATGCTACATGGTGTCACATCCCAGAACAACATATTCTACATAACAGTTCCAGTTACAAGTGTTGTACCTCTTTTGCACTTATCTGTCTGAAATAAAAAATACTAACCTTGCAACCATCAGAACCTCCACGACCCAATTTCCCATAATCACCATCTCCCCATGACCATACGTTGTCATCGTCAGTTATGCACAGAGTTTGGGCATCTCCACTGCCACATGCAATGTCCATAACTCGGTAACTAAGAAGTGCTTCTACCTGAATAAAGCAAAACAAAGCGATATCGATATGATTAATTGTACAAACAGCAATCATCAAATGCCGCACAAACAGCTTTTTCATCACTGTGAAGGCATTGCAGATCTCCATCCTGAAAGTAATGGCTGAAAGGGCTGCAGTGAAGCTGTGATGGGCCCCGCAAACCAACAATGAATATCAATAATGCTTTGAAAACAATAGAGAACTTCTGAAATAATTACAAGAATGCAATATGGATGATGCAAACAGTATACATATGAACACTAAATATGGCCTGGTTTCTTGCTTGTAATTAGTTTCATACAATTTCTGGGAGAATGTTGAATGAATATTTTCATATCTCTACCAACAGAAATGACATTAACATATTATATGAAATAAAAAAATACTCTTTTGTTTTAAAACTTTGAACTTCCCAAATTATTAAAGGTAACTGTTTCCATTAATATAAGAACATCCTTCTACAGAGTAAACCTGGAGGTCTCAGGGTAAGACACTGGATGCCTATTCTAAGTTTTATTCACAGAGACATCTGTCTGCAGATATTTTTGCTCTTACACCGAAACTTTCACCTCTAACAATGACAGAACTTTTGGATATGTGAGAATACAAGAAGCCTGCATTAAGCTGCAGGTTCCCTCTGCTGATCACAATCTTCATCTCATGATCACCCTATCGTTTCAGTACTAACCAATTTTGGCTTGAGCTGGTCCTCACTGTCACCATGTCCAAGCCTCCCATATCGACCCTTTCCCCATGTGTAGACATCCCGATTGCTTGTGATGGCTGCCGAATGAGCCCCTCCGCATGCGATATCTATGATTTCCTTGCCTCGTAAAGCCTCTATGACTCGTGGGCGCTCGCAGGAACTGGAATTAATTGCACATCTTCTCTGTACAATATGAAAATAGCAACAAGAAATCATAATTCTCTATAGTTCAGGAATAAGAGTCACCTTGGGATGTCCTTAACAGTCTTGTGACTGGTTCCTGCATGGAACATTGGAAATCACATTTGATCCCACATGAGATGATAAACAAGTTTTTACTTCAACCAAAAGAATAAAAAACTACTTGAAATTTTAAGTTCTGACAGTGGGACTAGGAAGAGTATTGATTTCTGGACTACAAAACTGCATACTCTAGGTGAAGTTTATTTTCTAATTCACATCTACCAGACATTATGTCACATCTCGGACGACAGATCTCTTAATATAACTGTTCCATATCAGCTGATTAATCAGTTCAAGTAATTGTCAATTATATTCTTTCAACTGAGAAGAATGGGTATATATACCCATTAATTTTGAAATCTCAAGACTGAAAATTACAAATTAAAATATTTTATGACACATCTACATGGTGTAATCCAAAAGTTCCCGAAATATATTAATAAAAACTATTACATCTTATCTAGATCTTATTCTGCACCATCACCTTCAAAGTAGTCCCCTTGGGGGCGCATACACCGATCCCAGCATTTCTGCCACTTTTCAAATGCATCCTGGAAGTCTTTCTTTGTTAGGGTGTTTAGTACTGTCTGCGTTTCTGCTTGAATTTCCTCAACTGTATCAAATCTTCGCCCCTTCAACTTGATTTTCATCTTGGGGAAGAGAAAGAAGTCGCTGGAGCTAAGTCTGGCGAGTACGGTGGGTGGGGAACAACTGCCATCTTGTTTTTAGCCAAAAATTCCTGCACAATGTAAGCTGTATGAGGTCGTGCATTGTTATGGTGGAGTACCCAGTCGTTCGTGCGCCACTTCTCGGGACGTTTTCTCCTCATGTCCTCCCTCAAACGCCTTAGAACATCACGATAGAACTCTTTATTGACTGTCTGACCAGGAAGGGCGAACTCCTTATGAACAATCCCGTCAATATCAAAAAAACAGATCAACATGGACTTAATGTTGCTCTTGACTTGTCCAGCTTTTTTTGGCCGAGGTGAAGAAGGGCTCTTCCATTGCAACGATTGCTGCTTGCTTTCAGGGTCGTAGCCATAAACACGACTTTCGTCACCAGTGACAACCTTCGAAAGAAAGTTTGGATCCTCTTGAAGCTGTTGCTGAAGTTCCCTGCAGACTTCCAAGTGATGCTGCTTCTGTTCATTTTGCAGCAGTCGTGGCACAAACTTCGCCGCAACCCTCCTCATGTTCAGTTCCTCTGAAAAATTCGTTGACATGTACCATAAATTAGTCCCAAGGTATTACAGAGGTCTTGGATGGTCAGTCTACAATCCTGCAGAATCAGATCACTAACTTTCGCGAGATTTTCTGGTGTTTTGCCCGTTGACGGCCGTCCCGAAAGATCGTCATCATCAGTTGATGTTCAACTATTTTTGAAATGCTTATACCAGTCGTAAGTGTGTGTCTGGCCTAAAATGTCACCAAAAGCTTGCTTCAACATTTGGTGCATTTCTTCAGCGGTTTTCCCAACTTTGAAACAAAACTTTATACAGACACGCTGCTCTCTCAGGTCAGCCATTGCAAAACCGCAGACTCACGGAAACACACACTGGAAATACGTTCACTAACAATAAACCCAACCACTCAACTTGATGCCGCTTGCCACACTGATTCAAGAAGGATGTGTGAGGAGACACCTAGTGGTATTTCGATGTACTCATAATCATTCGCACGCAAAATTCAAATTTCGGAAACTTTTGGATTGCCCCACGTATGATCAAGGATTGTTAAGTTTACCATTTAAATTTACAAGAACTTTAAATTCATAATCTAGTACTTCTTTTGGCTTATTTTGGACTTCATCCATTGTCTGGTATGTAAAAGATGAAAGACCACGGCGTTTCGGAAACTGGATCTGTCCAAAATAAGCCAAAAGAAGTACAGTACACACCATCGTCAGAATCCTTTCATGTCTATCTCATAATCTAGTCATTGACAGTTCTGTCCAATGTGCTGTATGTCATGGCATACTAAAAGCTAAATTATACCTTCGGTTGCCATGGCCAAGCTTCCCGTCATCACCTTCTCCCCAGGAGTACACTTCACCTTCTGCTGACAGAGCCAAACAATGTTTCCCCCCTGAATTAACAGCCACCTGGTGAGAGAAGTAGAGAAGTGGGTACAGCGCCTTCAGAACAAGTGGATGGAGTGATATGTGATGCAACAGCAAAGTAATCACACTGAGGCAGGGAGGAGCATCTGAATGATGCACTATGCGTTCACACGAACCAATGAGAAGCTGACAACAAAATGTGTTTATACAGGGATTTACAGAGTCTAATAACATTTACCTGCTTCTGAAAAAATGTACTTATAACTTCTCAGGCATAAAACCTTCTTTTTTTTTCCATTGGACATAAAATCTTAAAATTATGAAATGTACATAGTGTATAAAATAAATTCTAAAGATTACAGTTTTCTGGGATGTGACCCCATGTAATCTGGTAGAGATGTCTCAACATTCTGGAGGAACTTGTTGCTTCCACCTCCTTTTACCCATAAGAATTTCTCCAGAACACTGGTAGCGATCTATCACACTATACAATCTATACAATGTCACACTGCATAAAAACATAATCTTAAAATTCATCACCACAGGAACCTCAAATTTAATAAATTCTACCTGTGAAATGAAAAAAGAAACTTGTCTCTGATAAGGGACTACATGGATATCAGAAATGCTGTTTGTACATGTGAATGGGCATACAATAAAAATGTCTTTTTTAATTTAACACTGGAAATGCCAAGGACACTTGACTGTCAAAGGTTACAAATGTATAAGGGCGTCCCGTATATAATGCCTCCTATTTTTTTTTAAAGAAAACTACAACAGATACAGAAATCATAATAACGCAGTTAAATAGAGCAAGATTTCAGCTACTTACAGCTATTTTTCCACATAATCACCACCGTTCGTTATGCACTTTTGCCATCGATGAACAAGAGCCTGTATGCCGCGCCTGTAAAAGTCTGCAACAGCAGAGGCTAGCCACTTTCTTACAGCTGCAAATGACAGCATCGTTGTCTGGAAAATGTTGCCCACATAATCCATCTTTCATAGGCCCAAAGAGATGGTAGTCTGAAGGTGCTAAATCGGGGCTATAAGGTGGATGTGGTAGGACAGTCCAGCCAAACTTTGCAATGTGCGCAGTGGTCGCCAAACTGGTATGGGGTCTAGCGTTATTGTGTTGCAAGCAAAAGGTTGTCTGCTTCTCTGGCCTGACTCGGGAAATACGGGCTTTCAGCTTAGTCAGCGTTGTCTTGTAGCATTCAGAATTGACAGTCCCTGGTCATTATCTGCTGATCGGTTCAGATGAGGCGCTGTTCATTGTGAGGAGTGGCAGCTCAGCAGGGATGCCCATACCGTGGCTTGTTGTGCACTTCACTTTCGCCACTGTTGAAACGCACTACCCACCAAATCACTGTGCTGACATCCACTGTATTGTCTCCGTACACCTTTAGCAAGTGTCAATGGATGTCAATGGGTACAATTTGTTCGGCAGTGAGAAATTCAATAACACATTTCTCTTTCATACGCACTTCTATGTCAGACGCCATTTTGGTAGATTGCTCTGCTGTTGCTATCTGTCGCACAACAACCAAATTAACAGTATTTTGGCGGGAAAGTTCAACCTTTACTACAACACCACCAACATCCAGCTCAGATGTTACATATTAACACAAAAAAAATAGGAGGCATTATATACGGAACGCACCATGTAGAATGAAAAACCATGACTAACACAGGACGAAGAAAATTTACTTTAATCCCAGTGGTTCTAATTAATGAACAACCAATGCTGTGTTATACAGCACCGTGAAATTCTCACTTAATGTTTCTCTGGGGCTGTGTATTTAAATAGGAAACAAAAGAAAATGAAAATGGACATAGTTTAACAATGAGATAACAGGATTTGAGATTCCCACAGTTGTGGTTAAGAAGAGTTCTATCTTATGGTATATAGCGTTGTGTAGTCCATTGAAAGTCAACCAATATTTCCGAGGAACAATGGTTGATTTTCAAACAAACTGCATGACAATACATGTACATAGATTCTAAAGGTTCTGATGATTGTGTACAATATTCAGAATCATTGAGCTTTTGGACTTTGTCCAAGAACTCTTTCTAAGGGACCCAAAAGCGCCATAGCTCAAGCGGTTAGTCGCTAGCTTCCCACCGTGGTGGCCCGGGTTCGATCCCAGATCTGGTCAAGTGGGATTTGTGGTGGACAAAGTGGCGCTGGGGCAGGTTTTCTCCGAGTACTTCGGTTTCCTCTGCCAATCTTCATTCCACCAATTGCTCCACAATCACCCTCACCTATCATCTGGGGCTGGTACAATAGGCCAGAAGTGGCCACAGTACAAGGGACTTAGTCCCACCCCACTAGCAATAAAAAATGGGGGGTGAGGGACCCTCTCTCACCCTCCTCTCACACCTGAGGACAGAAACAGATCAAGTTTCTGAAATGTTGTGTTCTCTAGTTTCAAGAATACTGGATGATGGATGAAGTTCAAAAACCCAGTAATTCTTAGTTCATGGCATTACATTACTCTTCAATGAAATAACAGGATTTGGGCCACAGAATCTGAAGGCCAAATGAGAGGAAACCTTAATTCATGTACAAGAAAGAGAGGTTTTCCTGTACCACGGAAGTATTGTGGATATTTTATAATAACCTTCTTAATGAAGACATGCTGGATGGACTCCAAAAGAGTAGGCACCATCACAGATTCAGTCCCTCCAATACCAAGCCGTCCTCCAGCACCATACCCTACACACACAATGCAGTATCACATGGCTGATATAAGCATTCATTTGGAATTATATCCATGAAACCCACTGTATAGTAACACATGGGAAAATTTCTTTACACAATGACATAAGAAATTTGGTATGTTAAGTTTAAGGTTTAAGGTGATTTTTTTACTTTGTCTATTGTCATACTGAGTATCTTTTTCTTATAAAGACCACAACAGTTCTTAAATGTGTTCCATTTTTGATCTCCACCACAGATCCAGAGGTCTGGGTTCGATTCCCGGCGCTACCAGCTTTTCTGAGAAGTAGTGAGTCTGGAACAGGGTCCACTCAGCCTCGTGAGGATAACTGATGAGCTATTTCAAGGAAATAGCAGCTCTGGTCTACAAAAACCGAAATTGACTATGGGGATTCATTGTGCTGACCACGTGACACACTCTATCTGCTAAAGTTGGCACTAACTTTGCTGACAAGCAGCAGTTGCTCTGTTAGTATAGTTTGCTTGAGGAATAAAACCACGGAGTTTGTTTCGGTGGAAAGAAGGATATGAAGAGATTCCTCTCCTCTTGGGCCTCTAGATCGAGCTACTCTCACACCCCGGCCCAACAAAGTAAGATCCCATTCCTATCCTCTCCACCTAAAGATCAAACCAGAACACATTTCCAAAATGTTGTGATTTTAATATAAAAACTAGAAGTTTTTGGAAGAACTAACTGCTTGCTCTCTTTCCCTACATATTAGTATTTGATATGACACAGACCACATAAAAAACAAGAGCATCCAAAACAGTTCTTGTATTGTTGTGCATGTACTTGTTGCCACAGAACATGTTTACCAAGCTGTTGCCTGGCAACATTAGGGCGTGGGAAACACACACATACATACAGACAGCAATGTGACCTCATACACCTTGTCTTACTTTTCTTTTTCTTTTCTTTTCTTTTTTTTCAAAATTAGGAAAGTAGGCCAATGACAGAACCACAGACAAAGTTCAAATCATGAAATAACATCAGACTTAGTTTAAATGTGCCTGCTTTGGCTATACAGTATAGTACGGTACACCTCCCACCTTTGACGTTACATTTACCTGTAGCATACACTTTGCCATCAGCAGTGACTGCCATGAGGGTCTGCTCCCCTCCCAGGAGCTGGACAGGCCTCAGAGCCGACAAGGCTTCACATGGGGTGGGGAGCTTCACTTTGGCCCCTTCAACACCTCCAAGCTGCCCCCTGTGATTGTGGCCCCAACCATAGATAGTGCCACTGCCATTCCAGGAGAGCGTCCAATCCTCTGGACGTCTGTAATGATGATAATGTGCAATGTATGAGCACCACTTTACACTGTGGGCAGTACATGAGCTCGAGTCTACACCTATCTACACATGCAGCCTCTTTCGGTTATTTGTTAGCAACAAAATAGCACTGTGCCCCAAATAGTAATGAAAATGCCAACAGTTCACCTGTAATGACTAAAATGAATGTGTCAACACACAAACTGTAGGACACAAGATTGTTTTGTTTTGAAATAATTCGTGTCTGTAGAAATATTTGATGCTTGACAGGATACACTGACCTGTGTAACCAGAGTAACAGTTGTTCATCGTGTGCTTGTTTAAACATTTCATTGTTTTCATGGTCCCACACCACTGTATCACTCTCCTGAATCATCTCTGTTATTTTTTTCCGTACCTACAAAAATAGTTAAATTAAACAACAAAAAACAGAGCTCTGTACCCAAGATGCAGAAGAGTACGTGAAGAAAACAGAACATTTTGCATAGCTATGCCATTTATTATATACAAACCACATGGAACGGAAAACTAGCGAAACATCAAAGAGACAGGATCATGTCAGACCTGAGTTAGTGAGACAATTAGTTCAAGAATAGGCCCTCTGTGTGCATTGTTTGATCTGGCGACTATTACACTCTTCAAATAAGGATAAATATCTGAACCTCAAAACACCAGAAATCAAACACAGATCAGCAGAGTATACACACTTTCCTATGTATGCCTTGGTGGATGCCACATAACCCAATTGGCAGGACAGTATTCATGACACCAAAGAGATTTATAAAATGAATTTAAAAGTAAAAAAAGGAGTTTCTTCTTGGTATAAGTTTTGATTTAGTTAAGATGAATACAAACCTCTATGCAGAAACTGTGGGGCAGAGTTGTACGGGTGACCAGTGCTGCTGCTACCCTGGCAGCCATACAGTAGCGCCGGAACCATGACCACTTGTGGTTCTCAGCACAGCAGGGCAGGCAGTCAAGACCCAAGTCACACGCCAAGGCAACAAGCACCTAGTGCATACAGCATAACATCTCGTGCACAAGACCAAACAAAAAGTTATAATATTTAAATGCAACAAAACAGTGTCTCCCATTTTTGAATGACACTGACTTCAATGCAGAAGTTACATAGCATTTCATATCAGGATGAATAAAAATGGGGAGCCAGGAGTGAATATGGAGTAGGAAAATGGGTAGTCCATCCCAGGTTGGGGACCTCAGCTGTTCACATTTGGAAGAGAACTGCTCACTTGTCCATCCCAGATCCCAAATCTGTTTCACAGATGCTAACATATTGCTGTGGATAAGTGTTTTAATTTCTCAGCCATCACACATCATAACTGACACAATGAAAGTTGTAAAAATAGAGAAAAAAAAGGAAAACTTCTAAACACATTAGAAAAATATATATAAAAATGAGTAAAAAAAGACTGCACACAGATGACACATACACTGACGTCTATAAACCTAATTTGAGTTATTACAAGAATTAAACACCGCACAGCTACACATATACATTATAAGAGATAGAATCAAACCATCCCAGCAAGCATTCATAAAAAACACACTTAGCACAACACAACAGGAAGAACAAACCATCACTTGGAGTAAGAACACAAACAAGTAATCACACGATACATTAAAACATATCATATACATACATTTTAATAGGAGATATTTATACATGTTACAGATACATGTGCACAGGGGGGACCATACTTTAAACAATTAATAACCGAAGCCACGACAACAGTAAGACAGCAGTTTCCTCATCTATAATTTTAAACATCTGATGATGACCATATTGGTTGAAACATGTAGTGAAAAACTTTTAAAAGGTTTTTATGTGAAAAACTTTTAATAAGTTTTACAGAAAGACGTGTTGCAGGTGAGACAGTGCAACAAGTAACATTTGATACTTTTCTTTAATTCAGATTTCTTTACTTTTTCCTAAAAAATTATGCCTTGACATAATCCACTTGTAACTGTTTTTGTATGCAAACCAAGAATCATTAACCTAAAGACAGATGGAGAGAGATCTCTTGGGACAGTCAGCTGCAAACAGGGAGATGATATACAATGGATTTATAGAAGTTAGGTTATGAGTATATGCCCTACACTGCCCTTCACTGAACTGATTCAGGATGAAATCAAACGGCAGGTTTTTACTGTAACATTAAAAAATCTCTTGGTTCAAAAAAAAAAAATAAATAAATAAATAAAAAAAAAAAAGAATAGAAAACTATCTGAGCTCATGGAAGGCTCTGTGTCTGAAAGTTAAGTTGAGAATGGAGATATACTGTGGCTTCAGAAAACAAAGTAACTCTTTTAATGCAGTAAACGGATAATACTGAGACGTGTCACCTGAGGGTTGAAATAGTGGAGCCAGAGGAGATGTCCAATGCCAGCCAATGGCTCAGTAAGCATGTTCTTGCAGCCATGGATATGTATGCAACAACTGAGGAATTTCTGGAAGCGGCGTTTTCTGTACTGTCCATGCCGAGGCTATGTAATGTAGATCAACGGAACCAGATCTAGTCACAACTGATACCATGACCTGGAGTAGATAAAGATGCTTACCTTGAAAAATGAACTGTGCATTAGATGCTTGCCACTGCGAACAGCAGAATCTTCATACTCATACTGTCGTAACAATGCCTGAGGTAAGCCCTTCACTAAGGTTGGCAGAGCTGAATCAGTATTTAGTCCCTGATCCATTTTAAGCAAAGCTGGGATGTTTAGTAGTTTGCCAAGCCGAGACACCATCAGCTTGCGCAACTTCTGCAGAGCCCACATGCGCTGTGAAGCCGCTAAAATGCAAATATTAAATACATTAATTAATCACCCATAAGCAGATCAGCCTGAACAGTTTAATGGGCCCAAAATGAGGGGATAAAAATTCTATTTTGTTCCTGCTCATGCCTCCAGTTAGTACTGAATTTTGAGATGGCAAATTGCACATTTACTGGTTACAGAGTGCGACTGCTGATTGAAATGTGACAAGAAATGCAGTTCACTCAGCACTGAGGGGATAAAAATTCTATTTTGTTTCTGCTCATGCCTCCAATTAGTACTGAATTTTGAGATGGCAAATTGCACATTTACTGGTTACAGAGTGCGACTGCTGATTGAAATGTGACAAGAAATGCAGTTCACTCAGCACTGGTGAACACAAGAATGGAAGGGAGGAAGAGTGAGAGAGGGAGGGGAGGAAAGGGAGAAAAAGAAAAAACAAAGATAATAATAAAAACAAGTTCTGGCAAGAACTAATCACCTACTTTCCTTTGATATGATACAGGCCACATAGAAAACATGCCCAACAATTCTTCCATTATTGCACATGTATTCATGGCTACAGGAACACATTTACCAAGGCCTTTGCCTAGCAACAATGGGGGGGGGGGATACACATACAGACACACAGGTAAAGTATGCTAACAACAGAGGAAGTGCTGGAGGTGGTCTTTTCCTTGCAGTCTGACCCAAAGTTATATAGAGAGGACAACTCACTGCTTAGGATCGTGGTATAGTTGCTTGACTCCCAGAGTCGTGAGCCAAAAAAATATGATGAATCCTGTGGTACACAGAACCAAGAATGATTGTGCTGGCAAGTGCCAGCAGAAATTTACCCTGCCTGCCAGAGGATCGTGATTATCAGTCAGTCACAATGTGCAGAAACCTGAGAGTTTGAAGACCTAATTACTGAGCCGTTGCTTAGCAATGACCATCTCTGTGGGGCTTCTCTGACTTCATTATTCCAGTTTTCATGTGTCATGTCACATGTATGTTTATGTGGTATTGCAATGGCCGTTTCTTCTGGCTCCACTATTCTAGCTTTCAGGAGTTAGGGACAGATGCACAGCTACAGACATTAAGGCAATCTTACAAACCCCCTTTTATTTTTTCAAAACAAGGAAAGTAGGCTTAAATGAGGAAATGCAGTATCATGATGCAAAGGATTAAACAGGGCATTCAGAGAGTAAGGGATCACAGAAAACACACATATCCTAGTAATCCCTCCTACCATGAAGATGGAGGCAGCAGATTCCGCTGAAACATTGGTACCTATGTAGAGGCTCTATGGCATCAGATCCCATGACACCATAATCTTAACAAACTTCTCATATGTTGTCTTAGGCTCACCAAGAGAACTGAGCTGAGCACAAGATGCGAGTGCTGTTGCCAGGCGAGTTATGAGGTTCCTGTCTGAACTTGGCATCAAACGTGCATCTAGCAGACACATCACAAGTTCTACTGATGGCTGTGAAAGAATGGCTCGGTCTGAACCCAGCTCATGGGGTCCAGCATAGGTCACAATGGGGTACACTGTGAATCTCCAGCCCCAACCATTTACGGAACCATCGCTAGTAAACTTCCAGCGCAACTCATCACCTGGAAGAAATAATCAGGAGCTGGCACTGTCAACTAATAGGCAAAATGGGCTACAAGAATTGTCCTGTGGGATATTTTCAAACAAGTACAATGGTAATATTTCTGAGTTTTGAGAATTTAAATTTGAAAACAACTGTGCAATGTAATGTTTATTCTTATGGAAAATTATTTTGGCAGTACTCACAGCTTTCATAAAACATCTAATTTTCCCTCATTTAATGTTCAGTTTCAATAATCTATAGCCAATATTCTCACTGTTTTAAACTCCCCCCACTTAAGATGATCCTCGGTTTAGCGTTCACACCCACTGTTCCCAAATGAAACCTTAAATGGGAGGCTCAATGTTTAAATTTTGAGCCTGAAAAGTCCTTTTACTGCTTCTGAGGAGATTAAAAATTAAGAAAAGAGGATAAATAAAACCAATTTATCAGAATGAAAGCAATCTGTTTGAGAATCTCAAATATCTCCTGCAAGAAGTCCTGCGTTTTACATGAATGCTACAAGACACTGCTATGACACTGATGAGAGAGACTATCTCCTTCTGGACTTAGGGCTAACATTTAGAGGCCATACATATTTAACCTTTGTGCGGGTGTTTTTAATGTTGCTGATACATTATCATTCTTTGCGTATGTCCCATCTGTAATACATTTTACCTGTAATACGTATTTCTGTGGACCAGTCACTCCATTCTCGACCTGATCGAATAGACACAGTTCGTCCTGTACCATCTATAATCGTCATAGGATCATGACGTCTTTCTGTTGAGCACTGTCGATCGAATTCAACCCGCAGACCTTTTGCCCCTAGTAAAGAATATCACTTTCAGTTAACAATAAGTCTGCATATACTGCACACAGATCTGGTACAAATATTAATTATATGGGTGGGGTTATACGGAAGTAAACATACAAACTGAATTGAAACATCTGACATGCTGCAATATAAAGTCAGACACAGGAGAGTTCACATGTACATATTTGGACAGTTTTGTATGTGTATTTATCAGTTATTTTGTCACTGCTCATTAACTGTTGCAATCAGTCGAACAGTGCACTTTCCTCTACAGATCCAAACCAACACTTAAAGCAGAGCACAAATTATGTTGTCACATATGTATATATGTTGTATATGTGTCGGACTATAGACGGGGCATGAATTGGTGAATAGATTTATTGATCACTTATGCACACCACTCAAAACTACAAGCACTTACAACACGATCGCTATGTCATCTCAACTATAGCGCCATCTCTTTTCAGCCTCCCTTGCAGAGCTCAATTGACTGCTAACTCTCTTATAACCACTTTGCATGGAGCAAATAGAAAACACCATTTTCAGCAATAACTCTATTGTTGGAGGGGCATGTTTCATCTCCTCAAGGCCCATATACTTTCTTCTGCCCTTCATTCTTGAACACTCTTGATATCTATTCTTCCTCGAGAGAAAGATACATGGTTTTATACCAACATAAAAGGGTGAAAATTGTACATCTGTGTGGTTTAATCATTACATTTTTAGTAAGATGGCAGGGTAATAATGTATTCTGATCTGAGTGGTAAGCAGAGCATCATGCTCAAATATGCTTAGCTTCTTACCTGGAATCTTCACATGTCCAGACAGTGTTGCATCATCTGTGTAGGGGTGGCTGCTCTCCTGCACCACAGGCTGAGGGGTCAGGTGTATTGAGTGCGTGTTGAGGGCCACGTCTTCCAGTTCTGTCACACACAGCTCCAGCAACATGTCTCGAGTGTCAGTGCAAGCACTACCCATTGCTGGAAAGTAAAACTACATGCCATGTTTGTTTCAGGGGACATACTGTAGATAACACAATGATTGCATGTGGATACCCTAACTAAGGTAAAGTTGTCCCTGTGCTTAACTAATTATGTACTACAACACAGATCCACATTTTCTTGACCCCAGCACTAACTGGAAGTGAGTTAAATTTTGAAAAAATGAAAACGCAAATTTGACACAGCACAATAGTATAGAACAAAAACCTACAACCTGAAAAAAAAGGGGGGGGGGAGGTAAATTATCTCTGCATGTAATTACATAATTAAGAACTATGTCACAAATGCACATGAAGAAGTGGAGGTACAGCTCCACCATTCTTGATCTTGGCACTATAT